TGCGGGAGGGGTCAGTGGTCCCCAAGGCCAGCTTTGCTACTGCAGGCCAGCTGGGGTGCAAGAAACCAGGAGGGCTGCGGTCACGAGTGCTCGCTCCACAACATGCGTAGGCTAGGTCCAGACACTGCTGGGCAGCGGCAGCAGCAAGGACATGAGGCGTGGACAGGCGTTCTTTTCGGTGTCACAGCCATAGCAGGAAGGTGAGCTGAAGTCCTGAAGTTTCTCACCCCCGAATCCAGCATCCAGCAGTTCACGGACTGAGGGCTGGTTTGTCTGTTGTTTGTGGTGCTGGGAACTGAACTCGCCACCTCAGGCCTGCCAGGCAGGCGCCTGTGTCACTGAGCTAGAGCCCCAGCCCGAAGGCTGCTGGCTGACTCCACTGCTACCCACATCCAGTACCCGAAAAGTAACGTGAAACAACCTTTCTTCACTGAATAAACCCCCAGCTAAGCCTTAGGAAAGGTCGTTTATAAAACCCCCGGGGGCATTTCTAGCTCAAGGAAGAGATCTGCAGCAGACAGGGTCTGGAGGTGAAGGGCCGGGGTTTACCTCGGCCACTCTGTGAGCTCCCTGCTTCTGCCTTTGCTACCCCAGGCACCGTTTTCAAAAATACAGTCCAAGAGCTTTTTTAACAACTGCTTTGATGGGGCTATAACCACCTTTCTAGCCCACTGGCCTAAGGGTCCACTTCCAAACTTGTGGCATTTGAAAGCCTCTAGAGCCCACTGAGGCCATAAAGCCAAGGTGCTCTGCTGGCCAGCCCACCCTGTGGCTCTAGGTGCAGCTGACCCTAACCCTCATCTCTGCTCCTTGAAGCTAGGGTTGCAGGGGACAGGTGTGTCCTTGTCACAACTAGAAAAGAGCTGTGCAAACCATCCCTTCTGCCCTACTTTGGCCTGTCCAAAGAGGACGGGCTGGACTCCGGAAAGGGAGGTGATGGCTCCTCTTACCCGAGTGGCTGAGACCCAGAGGCAGGCGGACTGTTCACAAGCTGCCTTGTCACTGGAAGGGACACAGTGGAACTCATCTTCCTCCTCCAGCTTTCTGGGACAACACACACTGAGCCTTCCCAAGCCTTGAATGTTTACAAAATGCTGTCCTATGCCAGCCATGAAGACCAGGCCTTGCAGTCCATTCCTTCTGTGGCCGCCTGTCTTTTTTTTTTTTTTTTTTTTTTTTGGTCTTTTTCATTTTTATCGGTACCAGGGATTGAACTCATGACTGCCTGCTTACAAGGCAGGCACTTATGCCGCTGAGCTAAACCCCCAGCCCCTTGTCTTTTTTTTTTTTTTTTTTTCTGTCTTTTGAGAACCCAGCACATCATGTGAAATGTCTCCTTGTCTGAAATCTTAACACAAAAACAATCGAAAGGAGCCATCACTGATGCCTGTGTCAGAAACAATATAGATTATAACCAGTAATATAGGCAAAAAAACCGGAACGTGTCCTTCAGCTGTTCCTGGGACCAGAAATTCACATCTGATTGGTCACAGCAATGCGGTTTTATTTTTTAAGTAGCCTGACAACGGGCCCTACTGGATGTGACGAAGCCTTAGGTAGGATGTCACATGACACAGTCAGACCCCAACTCTGCGACATCTAAGCAAGACACTGCCTCTCCAAAGCAAACGCACCGACTGTAATGGGGTACAGCCCTCCAATGGGTGGCAGCTGAAAGGCAGCTGTCACTGCCTCCCTCCTGGTAAAGTTAATCGAGCGCAGCATCAGAACTTGTAGAGTAGGGGGCAACAGCTTAGGAAAAGTCTCACCAACAGCAGAAATGCTTGTCAGGAATGCCACAGTGACACCAACAGCTAACCTGGCACAGACGACAGCAGTGTTCAGGAAAAGGCAGACAGGCACACGATGGGTCATACGGTGGTTTCAAAGCATCAGCCTCAAGGCTGGGCATTTAGCTCAGCGGCACAAGCGCCTGCCGGGCACGCGTGAGTTTGTGAGTTTGATCCCTGGTACCACCCAAAAGAAAGACGAGCAGCAGGTCTAAATGTGCAGTTTCAGGAGCCCCTCGCTTGCTCTTTTTGTCCATGAATTCAGTGTGAAAGGGCGGAAATCTGTCTAAAGAAGTAAACGCTCTTTCAGTAAATGTTAAAGACCTAAAGTGCTTTTACACTTCTAACGGGCTCATTTCTCCTAAGGGGTCACAAAATGAAGAGTGCCCTCTAACTGCTGTACCTGAGGTCCCAGGAAACAGCTCTCTGCTCCCGAGGCTGGGGCTGAGGAAACCTGGGGATCCCACTGAAGCACCCCCAGGAGTAACTGAGCTGGTCCCTGGGTGGGGCAAAGCGCACTGCCTGGGGTGCCGCTCAGAGATCTTGGAACTTCTCAGCCTGAGTTTCAGGCTGACTTGATGATGAAGGAAAATGTGTTACTTCAGCCAATTTCTAAAAATTAATTTGGGCAACTACAAACAGTCATCTGCCTCCTTTCTCTTTCTTTGCTGATTTTTTAAAGACTGTTCCGGTGTTTGTCCTCTCTCCACTGGACATTTCCAGCCCGGTGTGGTGTGGCTGTGTACGCCTGAGCCTGTGGTCCTCCGCCCTGCCAGGTCGTCCTGACCTTTCCCTGGCATCAGCCAGGGCTACTGAAATTTATTTTATTTGTTCTTAATAGCATTATGCAAGTATTAAAATTTAATGAGCCACTATATTCCCCTGCATTTTATTTTTAATAGTCACAGGGCCACTTTTCAGATAAGATGCCTGAAGTCACAGGAAAATTATTTACAAAGGCAACCTCTCTTCTCCCCGTACCCCTTTTTAGGGAAGAAGTAAATAACATACCTTACTTACATGAAAGGCTGAGCGTGTGTTTTAGATTTGTTTTAACCTTTGGGGGAAAACAGAAAAAGCCACGCACACAGCCAAGGCTGGAATGTGAAAGGGCTGACTCAGCGGCTTCCAGGCCAGCAGTGAGGCCAGCTGGCTGCGTGGCCCTACTGGCTGCCCTCCGTGGTGGGGGTCGCGAGTTCGCCAACTGTGCTCCCTCAAGCTGTGGCTGCACTGTGGGTCTCACCCGCCAGGCTTCCCCAGTGCTGGGTCTGACCCCAGCTCTCAGGCGGTGCTGACCTTACCTCAGGGCAGCTTGTGAGCTAAGAGTGGACACGACCGGTCGGGAGCCAGATGAAGAGAGGCCAGCCCCACAGCTCGGCGTTTCCGCCACTCATAATCCACCCATCTGCTGAGAGACCCACAGACTAGGAGTGTGGCAGTGTCACCTCCGGTTTGGAAGGACACTGGGCCCATTGCCGGCCCTGGCTTTGCTGAGCCAGCTGTGTGAGCTCAGCTGTGACTGACCACGCGCGCCCGGCCCCTCTGCAGCAGCCAGCTGGGCTCAGACCCCTACTCCGCACCTCTCTACACGCCTGTCACTGCAGCACAAGGCCCAGCCAAGGCTGCTGCCAGCTGGCACGCTGGGTGTGGCTTCCAGCCTTTCTGGGCTAAAAAACAGTGGACACTGGCTCCTGCTCTTCATCTAGGAAGACATTTGGGGACAAGGGATGAGACTGGTGTGAAATGAAAATGTCTGGAGGTAAGAGCCCAGGCCTTGCCGTCGGGAGGACTGGCACCTACAGAGGGAAGATCACCGCATGGGTCCGGCCAGGTAGGGCTCATCCCCCCCCCACCCCGTCTCAGTGCCAACCAGGCAGCAGGCACCTACCAGGCACCCAACTCCAGAGCAACTTCCAGCTCTCGAGGCACAGTAAGCAGTAAGGCTCACTCGAGGTGGCAAATGCTAAAGGCCGACAAGTACCGAACAGGCCTCTGACCAGGAGAAAGCTGAAGGCAAGGCCTAGGACACCACGCAGTCTCCGCAGGTTACGCCACAGGCTTCCACAGCCATGAAGGGACAGAGCCAAGCGCCAGCCTCCTCCAGACAAGGGGTCAGGACGGCTGCTCTCCGGGATCCACGGCAGTGATGACAGGCTAGGACTGACACACGGGCCCCTAGGCCAGGGTCCCTCTCCCAGCCACCCACTTACCGAGCAGCCATGGAAAGGACAGTGTGAGTGAGACGACCCCAGGGCAGGCAGCTGCAAAGGAGCTGGGGAGTCCCTGGGGAGCCACAGCAAGGGCCCCGGCGCTCCAGCTCCAGCCTCGCCTCGCCTCTGCCTTAGGAGAGGAGCTCTGCTGCGGATGCTTTCTCTGTGGGGTTCCTGCATGACCAAAAGCGTCTGCTGGTGCTGAACCTCTAAGCCAGTTCTTCAGTGACAGCTGGGCAAGAGCTGGGAGCTGCTGCGCACGGTAAGAGCCTGAAGACTTCTCCTCCATCGCTACCAGTGTGGCTCGGCACAGCACATACCACGGCAGTGCCTCAGGGAGGCTGCTTAGGGCAAAACCTCCAGGAACGGGGTAGCAGTCCTGCCCATATCGTACCAGACAGAAGTGTTCGAAAACGTACCCGAGTGTTGTCCAGCCACTTCCGTATGCGATGTGTTTATGCTGCTGTAAGCAAGCATGCTCACAGGCTCTCACGCAGCCACAGACTCCGAGCTGACGTTTCCTGGGGTTTCCTTGTGTCTTGCTCTTGAACGTCTGGCACTTTTTCTCATTTGCTAACACCCACCTGTGCAGACACGAGAAGCCCAGGCCCGGTGCCCTCTAATCCCGCAACTACAGCACTGGTCGCAGTGCTGCGTGGAGTACAGCTGGAGGCTCAGCCTGCAAAGCCACCCGAGCCACTCCACGCCTGCCGCGCTCCCTCCTCGAGTCCTGGTCCGTAACCCAATCTTCACGTGGAGCCGGGGCCGCGCTCAGGCTGCCCCTGAAAGTCACGCAGGCCTGAACACCAGCCCCAGGAGTTGGCCAGAACAAGCCCGCTCAACGAGGAAGACGTTCTCGGAGGCCCCGCAGTCTTCCTTGTCCCTCCCGCAGCTGCTGTCCTCTGCACATTGCCTGGTAAAGCAGAAGACACTCTGGAAGCCAGCTCCGTACGCGCAGCCTCTCTCACGGGGTGCCAGGAACCCCAATAAAGCAATTCAATCCTTTTTTTCTGTGAAATTTATTGTTTCCACATTAAAAGATTTAGGGGAGGGAGGGAATTATTTTTTAACCACATGATGATCCTCTACAACTGCCCGGAGTAGGACACCATCGTAAGTCAGTAACATGCCGTATGAGTTTGGAATAAATAAAGCTAAATGCCCAAGTTATATACAGATACCTCAGGCGGTAATGTTTACAAACCTATGTACAATAAAACAACGGAAACAGTAAGTGCAGCATGAGAGTAATCAAAGGGTGCACAGGACAGCCACTTCCGGTCAGCCGGCCCCTGAATTAGGCCACTCAGTCCTTCCCTATGAAACGGGGTGGCCCCTCAGACATGAAAACAAAGTCTGAAACTGTCACTCAGCTGAAGGACCAGACAGCTGGGGAGGAGGCTGCCACCCCCTCCCGGAGTCTGAGGCGCGTGGGAGAGGCGGCCACGCAAAGGCTCAGCCTTGGGGTGCCGGGCCGGAGGCTCCTGCCCCGTGGCTCAGACAGCGGCCCGTGGCCGCGGGAGGCAACGGCGGACTGGTGCCGGCTGCTGGGTCGGGAGGTGCTGACGCGCGTCCTTAACTCAGCGCCATTCTGCCTCTGCCTGAAGCAGGCCCAGGCTGTACGGGTGGAGCGGGGACACATGATTATCAGCACTGGAGATGCTCAGATGGGCGCGCAGGAGGAGGGCACACGTTAACCTGATTGGGGGAGAACGTCTAGAGATCTGCAGTGTCCTAAACACAACTAAGTCCTATCGGCACAGCAGAGTGGGCTACGAGGCAGGTGTGATGAATGGGTACTTCTGCATCCAGTGACCAAGTCACACACGTATGTATCACCTTGTGACCCACAAAAGTGCAATCATGTGAAACCAACGGCACTACGGCAGGAAAAGAAAATAGCCAGTATTGAGATGGCGCAGAGTCCTGGGGCTGGGCGGGGCCCAGCAGCCGCCACTGCATGCAGCTCGCCCACTGCCAGCCGTGGGAGGCAGGAAGGGGGCACGGGGCTGGCCCAGGCACCGAAGGGCGAGGCGGGTGTCCTGGGCTGCTGGAGGAGGGCAGGATCCTCCACCTGGAGGCCGCACTCACACACTGAGAGGCAGCATACCCGGTGCTGAAGACGGCCGCGACGAGCCCAGACTAGGAGGAGGAGGAGCAGGGTCGAAGCCATTTACTGCCCTGTAGGGAGGACCAGAGCAGAGAAGGGGAGAGAAGGGGATTATCATTTAAACCTCTACACACAATGAAAACCCATCTGCCTTCTGCAGCGCCCTTCCCGCCCAAGGGTAAAGGCTGCCCAGACAGCGCCCGCTGTGGAAGGGGTGAAGACTTCACGGTCCTTCAGTGCCAAGACCATGTGCCCTTTCCTGGCAACTACGTCACACTCACCACTGAGGTCCTGATTTTTTTTTTTTTTCCTATAGAGGCAAGAACCAGGTGAATATGGTATTATCTAACTATTAAAAATATATCCCACACAGTTTTTAATAGTATGGGGTAAATATTCAAAATGTAGTTAATGCTAACTAGAAAAAGCAGCAGCTACCAAACTTCATATGTTCTATGATGTAAAAAAAGGAGAAAGTAAATAGTATATACTAGATTCTATGCTGGAGCCCCTTGTATAGATTTTACAGTGTAGCCAAATCTAGAATGTGAGGGTTTTAGAGACATGCACACACATATGAATACAAAATGTGTGAGTCCTATATATACACAATGCGTACACATACATCGGTATAGCAAGTGCTGTCCAAAGGAAAATTTACCAGTAGTTGCTTTTCTTCCCTCTAGGTTCATTTTCTACTACTTTAATATTTCCAGATCTCTTACAATGTACAGAAATATCTTAAGAAGGGGGAGAAAAATAACTGGTTACAAACTGTTTAGCAAGCAACACCAGACTAACAGTAGACAGCAAGGTAACACGCAGGCAGCCCAGCCCTGCACAAGCACCAGCACTAGAGTGCATCGGGGAGCGCCCAGCCCCGCTCCCACACCCGCACCACACCCCGCACCCCGGTGGCAGCGCAGCCTCAGGAAGCAGCAGCAGCACAAGCAGAGGAGGAAGGAGGGGCCTGGAACCTCCCTGGGCCACGGCAGCCTCTCTGTTCTGAAAAACTTCCTAGGAGAATTTGGCCTAGCAGCCTCTTGGAAGAAGACAGCCAACCACAAAGAACCACCCTGCACCATACTACCCACATGCCCCAGCCTGCACAGGGGCCGGGAGCTGACCATACAGATTCATGGTGAGGTTCTCTTCAAAAACAAGAGTGAGCCAACATCTCTGCACCGACTACAGTGCCAAAGGCTGAGAAGGCGAGAGAAACAGGCATGCAGACTTCACAGCAAACCCCTGGCTGTCCGGAAGCAGCTGAGTGCACGTCTTAATACACACACCGTATTCAGAATCTGAAACCAAGCCACACACACACAGAGCAAGCGCAAAGCCCTGACAAACGTACTCTGTCCCTGCCGTGCACTGTCCTACTTCCGTGCGGGACAGCCTGGAGTCTTCCTCCGGAGGCTGAGAGAGGTCATGTGAACACTTTAAATCACCCCTCCCCACTCTCCAAGGCCACATGCCTGTGCCTCTTCCTGGCTGAAGGCCACACCCTGTGTGCCACTGTGGTGCTCACCTGATAAGCCCCACATGTCATTTGTCTGGCTAGTCCCAGAGTCCCCAGTACCTGCTTCTTCAGGAATCTCAGCGGGCCTCAGCTTCTAGCACGCGAACCTCTGTTTCCCAGCCTCGCAGAGCGCGCCATTAGGAGAAGCTGTACTGCAGTGCCCCTTAGCCCCAGGGAGAGCAGGACTCCCTGGGTTGCCGAGGAGATTCTGGCACCTGGTCCACCAGAGCGTGCAAAGGCAGCCACCAGCAGGGTGGCTCCGAATGAGGGTTTAGGGTGGGTGCCAGTGCTTCCCAGAGATGGGCTAAGAAATATCAGGTCCATCCCACTGCCACCCAGCTAAGGAGCCCACAGTAACTCCCACCTTGTGAGCTGTCAATGGGGCAGTCGGGGACCTGCCTCCAGAGGCCTAGTGCACTGACCCTTTCTAGACTCCTCTGGTCACAGGAGCCCTCAGCAAATAAGCACTGTGATGCTCCCAGCGCACATCAGCTCTAATGGGAAAAACAACCCAGAATAAAAGGGGAGAACTGAAACTAGGTAATTGGTTTCTCTTTGTGGATGCAGGAAGTTAAAACCACAGCGAGGGGCAGATGGCTCCAGCATTTTCTGCTGGTGAGGCCCCTTAAATTAACCGCACACTTGTGCAATGAAGAAAGGTTCCCAAGAGAAGAAACACCTCCATATGTACCAAAATCAGTGCAAGAGCTGCTGAGAAATGTCTTCATGGACCACAGGACTGAATGCAGGGTGTTAACAGGGAAGGATGGAGAGACACACCTGGGACTCAACGATGGGAAAATTTCTAGACCTGTACAATTCATGATTTTACTTAAAAGTCTAGTTAAAATTGATGGACAGGAATCCAGCTAGGAGAAGGTGCTACAGTTCGCTTGTAAAGTGGCAACACAAGCATGAAGACGGGGAAAAGAGCCACTGTACGTTTAAAAACCAGTCAGGAAAGGACAGTGAATCTAACACGGCAGAGATAAAGACGGGAAGGAAGAAGCCTGTTACACCTGAGAAGGTGTACAGAGCTCATCCGGAGCAGCAGCGAACACTCTGGAGTCCCGTCTCCTTTGTCAGGGTCAGAAAGCCACTCAGCAGCTTCAGCCAGCTCAGTGCTCGGCCCAGCTGTGCACGGCAGGGCGGTGACCCTAAGGCAGCCCTTCCGTACCCTCCGATTTCACTCTGGGAAGAGGCAAAGGGGCCCTGTCCGAGAAACCTGCTGCAGGACAGAGGGGTTCCACCCCCGCAGACAGACAGACCACACACAGCCCCCCCACCGACTCTGACATCACAACAATGTCCCGCCCCACACCGGCGACGCCACCCGGCCGGCGTGCTGTCACAGCTGCCCACGATTCCTGCACTGATGTCTGTTTCGTTGAGATGGGTTCTCAGCATGTTGCCTATGCTGACCTCCAACGACTAGGCTCAAGTGAACCTCTCACCTCAGCCATCCCAGAAGCTAGGACTGCAGGCACAGACCACCGCACACAGCCACAGAAGTGTTTTGGTTCTGCACTGCTAAACCAGTAAAAGCACACGATCAAGGTTCACCCATGGGCTGAAAGTTGTTAAAGCCGAGTCAGCCCCATGCAGTTAGTAAACCAGTTTGTTAATGTTTTTCCCACCACACACCATGATTAAGAAAGAGAAAGAGAACACAGCAAACAAATTCAGTTTACCCATGAACAACGTGGGAAATATGACTTTTTCTTGCCTAATAAAAAAAAGAAAGAAGATTAGATAGTAATACAAATACTATTCTCATATCATGTCCTAAAATTAGTCCATGCCCACCTATCCTCACCTGAAAGAATCAGACTGGCTTGCAAACAGGGCAAGTAAAACAGGAGAAACTGAGGCTAAGGAGCAAACAACACACAGCTTAGAGCAAACCCAGGCGCTCACCGCACCCACAGGGCGGGAGGGAGCAGGACCAGCAGGCACGCAGCAGCGCCACTCCAGGCTAGATCAAAAAACAATTCCAAGAAGCCTCAGCGAAACAATTTACAAAACACTTCTGAATTCCGTAAAGCAACCTGTCTGCCCACTTAGGTCTGGCTCCGTGTGGCAAAGCTTCACTACATCTGAAGGCTGGGAGAGCACACGAACCCACGAATAAATCCCTTCTCAGTCACAGGCACAGGCTACCTTGCAGACTCCAAGAGGGCACAGGAGGCAGGTACTGAGCCAAGGGCTGGGAAGCCGGGCAGAGTCTCCACAGGCTGCAACGGCAAACCACACTTCTTCACTCCTTTACACACTGGGTCTTTCTCTTTTTTGACAGGGTCTCACTGTAAAGTTCAGGATCAGCTTGAGCTATGTAACCCAGCCCATTCTTGAACTTGTGGCGATCCTCCTGCCTCATCTTCCTAAGTACTGGGATTACAGGTGTGCACCATCAGGCCCAACTAGGACTGGTCTCTTTTTTGCAGCCTGCCAGATTTAATGGTGGTCCTGGGAGTCACGCTTTCCCTGTTTACTGTCGCACCTGGTACACACCATGTTGGTTTTTATCTACTGCACAGGACAGAAGAAAGTGAGAGATGAAAAGCCAAACAGCCCAGAGCCGAGCGAAGCAGCAGACAAGGCCCAAAGCCAGCCTGAGGACTACAGTGACCGGACAAAGATTGCTCGAGCAATAGTAGACTCATATTGCAGTGGACATACACAATCCACTTGTCAAATAAGTTAATATTTAAACAAGGGCCAGCCCGCAAAAGCATATTCCCTTATGCCCACAGTACAAAATAAAACTCATAAAATGTTGGGCAAAAACCAAGTACTATCGGAAACTGATTCACTCAGGAACTGAGCTTCTAGGTTGAGTTCGGGAAACAAGGCCTACACTGTTTCTAGGCTGTTCCTCACGGGCAGGGACCCAGGCAGAAAGCCCAAGGCCACTCCTGTTTTCGCCTTGCACTGAATTTTCACAGCTCCCCAAGACCGAGCTCATGTCTGTCTGAGCAACTGCTGCCCTGACTCTGTGAGTCAAAGGCAGGAGCGGCAGCCAGGAAAGAGTGTATCCCCCCTTTGTGTATATCCTGAAGCCCCAGGTACAAAACACACAAAGGTACCTGTCCAGCCACTCAGTTCTGGCCCATGCCTGTTCTCACATCATAAGGCACCTGAGGTCCACCAAGTGACTACTCTATTGAAGGGAATTAATTACACATTGCAAGACTCTGTTTCCAGTATCTTGAAGACGTCCCCTCAGCTTTCCCCGTATCATCTGGAGGAGAGGGCTGCTCTAACCCAGAACCATCTATCCACGCCATGTCCCACCCAGCACAGGAACAATTCTATTGTACGTGCTGCTGAAACAAGCCAACAGTACAGAAACAGAACGCGCCCTAAGCCTGCCTGCAACGCCCGAACCCAAGGGAACTAACTTCAGACTTAGCGGCCTGGAGAACCCCCACAATTAGAAGACAGCTGCTTCACGTGCTGGTATTCTACCATGTATTTTTATAGACTGTCCTTAATGAAATGTGTACACTTCAGGGTGGAATTCTTTTAAGTAACAGGCATGAACCAGAACACGCCAGTGAGGATGAACAATACAACCATTTTCAAGGGTGGATTTTCAAGGGTGGATTGTGTATCAGATCTGGTCTGCTGTAACACGTCATAATTATCGAGAGCAGCAGAAAAAACTGAGGGTGTCTAAATACTCAGGGCTTTGTAGATTTCTAAAATCTTCAGATAAAAGGTTTGCTACAGAGTCTACATATAATTACAGTGTTGTCTTCTACCCTGAAAAGACTTGCTAAGCAGGTTTACCAAGCGAGAACCTCCTGAGCCCAGCGCTGCGCTGCTGCCTTGTGAGAGTCAGCTCCCAGAACAAAGGTTCCTGGGGAAACAGACTCCATGGGGATCAAAAGACAACAACAGACTTCTGTCCCCCAAGATCTGAATGAGAACAGGCTTCAGGTAGGTTTATCAAACTGAAATTATCTTAAGTTAATAATCTGAAACATTACTGCTCCAAAACTGATCACTTAAAAGGTCCAGGACTTACCCTTTGTCGAAGAAAGATGTGTGCCCTGATCGAGAGAACTTGGTGCCATTGCTATTCATCACTCCACAGTTAACATTCCCTGAAATATACGACTTCCGTGCTGCCTGGTCCTTTGCAAAATTCCTGCAAGCTGCTAACTTGGATTCTAAAGCCTAAAAACAGGGAAAAGGAATGATAAGGTTGTCAAAACAGTAGCTGCACAGAAAAATTTGCATTTCAAAACATTTCTATTTCAAGTCCCAACACTTACTCTCCCAGTTGATAATGGTGGTTAGTTAAATCATAATCAAAATAATGTCAACTTTCTTCTGTCTCTGTGTGTGTGTGTGTGTGTGTGTGTGTGTGTGTGTGTGTGTGTGTGTGTGTGTCTTTTTGAGACAGGGCTTCACTATGCAGTTCTAGAGGACCCAAACCAACACTGTACCTCAGGCTGGCCTGGAACCCAAAGCGACCCTCTGCCCCAGCCTCCTGAATGCTGGGATTACAGGCACGCACCCAAAATAACTTTCCAATAGAAAAAGTGAGTGTTTGTGCTGACTGCTTTTCTGAAGAGTAAGTTATTATTTCTCTCAGTATTACTGGTTGGTTGGTGCTGTGACTGGGGTAGGTACGCGTATGTTTGTGATAGTAGCAAGCTTTAAAACATCTGAGAATGTATTTAATACATCCAATTCTTCTATCAGGTTCTTCATTCTAGTTTTTTCCACTGCCCCAGCATGGGTGCAAGAACTCACACCACCTCCCATGAAATGAAAGTTATTGCATTGTGAAAGTGCACTGTAAAATGTTTAACTGAAGCCCTGTCTGTAATTGAAAATTCAGCTGCAGCTGACACTGGTTGGCCTGTTAACATCTGCCTCTAACTCCAGGTCTGTACACCTGTCACATCACCTGGCAAGGGCCGAGCTCTGTCACCAGGTAACGTGGAGGGAACAGGAGTGTCTCTACTATTTCCACACATGCAGCTATCGCCAACTTCCCATTCCCATCAACACTCCCAAAAAAGGAATAATCTATAGCAAAATTAAAAAGCAAACAGCAAAACCACAGTCCTTTCTTGTTACCCAAGGAGGAGAAATGCAGATAATCCACAGATAACATACACTTCGTTATATGAATCCATTTGATATTCCAATGTCGCTATTTCAGTAAGATATGCAAAAAAACAACAACAACAAAAAAGACTGCTATTGCCTACTTTGCTTCCTCTTCCTTACAATAAACTAATAAAATAATGGCAGAAGCTGGGTGTGGTGGCCCACGCCTATAATCCCAACACTCAGGACAGTGAGGCAGGAGGATCATTGTGAGTTCAAGACCAGTCTGGGCTACAAAGTGAGCTGAAAGCCAGACCGAATGGCATAGCAAGATCCTGTTTCAAAAAAAAACCCACAGAATAAATACATACATACATAAAATAAAATAAAATAACGATGGAAAGAAGGAAGAAAGGTAATGAATTTGTGGGATACGCTGGGTGGACGTTGGTGACCTGCACGTATACACATCCACAGTAGCCAGTGAGAGCCATTAATTCCCTACATGCAGGCAGATACCTGTCCAGTCATTTAAATATCACTGAGCATCTAACATACACCAGGCACAAGTTATGTTTAAGATACCAGTGAAACATTTAATACAAGCCCTTGATACTTTCAAGACAAAAGGAGGTCTTCAGATTAAGATGTGGAAGCTATCCAAACCCAGAATAAGATGAAACCTGGCTGAATAAGATCAGAAAGTTACACAGAACCTTCAGCAAAGCCAACATTGAAAAGGTGGGCAGATAAAGACTCAACAGCACCACTAGAAAGAAGGGGGACGGGTGGGAGCAGCCATAGAACAGCACCAAGGAAGCACAGGACAAAGGGCGTTTTGGGGGAGAGGGGGAGGTCAGTGTTGATGTGCTGCATGCCTCTAATAAAATCAGAACCACACACACTGGATTTGACAGCCTGGAGATCACGGTGTGCAGGTTTAATGGATGCTAACAGTAGTGCAGATACATTTTCAAAAAACTTAGCTGTGGAGGGGAGGGAGAAGGGTATGGCTAGGAAGAGACACAGCATGACAGGAAACAACAGCTGCTTCCATGTTTGCTTTTTAAGATTCAAAAATTATGCAAGGGTTAGAAGTATGGCTCAATGTCAAAGCACATGCTTAGCATGCAGGATGCAGGGTTTGATCACAGGGAAAGGGAGGTAATGGTAACACACAACACTACACACTGGGTACCCAGTGTTCGGGTGGTAAATACTGTGTATTAACAGAGAGAAATGAAGGTGAGACAATGGGAAGGACTGGATCCAAAGCACAGAAGAGCCAAATTAGCCACGGGCAGGAATCTGACACTTCTACCACCGAAACAAAAGAAACAATGGCCACAGAGACAACAGGAAGGAAATAACGGGGAGAGAAGAATTCAAGTAAGTTTAAATCAGAGGCTTTGGTTTTCTATGAGTAGGGAAGAGAGATTCCAGCTCAAGTCAGTGAGCAGCGTTGTATACAGAGCTGTGAAATACGCATGAAAATATGTAGGGGTTGATGGATAACAACATAAGAAGTTCTGGTGATCTCTTAAAGACAGACTTTGCTGAACCGTGAACCATGTGAGGGCTACAAATCAAATTTTTATCTCTGCTTCTAATAAATTATAATACTGAATCAGAACAAACAAAAAATAACATGAGCCAAGGAACAGGAACATAATCACAGAGTGTGAGCAGTTCAGGGCTGACCGTGCTGCCGTGGCCCTAGAAACCCAGCAGGAGATTTCAGAGAGCATAAGGCGAAGCTAGCTGGAAGAGAGGAGGCCTCACAACGAGTGTGCGCTTCTACCGAAAGAGGAAAGGGAATTTAGAATGTCAGAAGAAACAAACAGGGTTACAGTTACAAATGGTATCATTTTGAGTAAATGACAATTAAAAGCAAAATGCTGAGGAGATTTGTTGAATGGCACAAATACTAACAGCCTAGCTCCATGGGCCAGGGATACAGCTCAGTGGCATGGTTCCTGCCTGGCAAGCACAAGGTTGAGCAGCACACAAGTCTGAGTCAGGGTTCAAAAAGAACAGAAAACCAGCCTAGCTCCTGCCCTGGCTCCCCAGTACATGACACACGTGGGCACCGCAGCACAAAGGCAGTATGACCAATTTTCCAACATTTACAGAGCCCGCCAGTGGAAACCCACACCCACAGAACTCAAGGAAAGCAGGGCAGCAGCGGGAAAGGAAGCAAGCAGGGGTGCGGAGGACGGCTTGGCTTAGCAAGGTCACAACAGGAGCTTAAGAACACAACACTGACTCAGGCTGGGGGCACCATCCCGCGGTAAAGTGTACGCTTAACATGTGTGAGTGAGGTCCTGGTTTCAATTCCCAGCACCAACGAACAATAACAAAAAAAAGTTACTTTAAAATTTTAAAAACAACCAACAAAAAATAAAAACTTAAAATTGGAACTCAGTAAAATTTTGTCTTTTTGTTTTGTTTTGTTGCTTAAAGTTGATTAAATAAAGAAAAATAAGCATATTACTGTAAATTATAGAGATAAACACCATAGGGTTTATCTTATAATAAATAGGGGTTGGGGTTTTTTTTAAAGTGGTTATCTTGGGAGTGAAGAAAGATTATTTTAGTGCTGCATAGTAATTTATGCACAATACTATTCCTAGTAACTGCAAAATGAGGATTTAAGAGCAAACCTGATACAGAGAAAATAATCCACTTCATGAGCCAGAAAAGACAGTGTTAAGGCTTTGTGTCATGGCTTTCCAGTTTTTCCTTCATGAACACAGTACAATGCAGCTTCCACACTGCTTTACAAAGTGTGTCACACAGAAGTGATGGAGGTAGGGGAACGGCTCATATGCCGTATCCCAGCACTCCGAAGGCTGAGGCCACCCTGGGCTATCAGTGAGTTCAACGTTAGCCTAAACCCGATCTCAGAAAACAAAAACCACACAAGTGAGTGATGGTGTAGTGCACGGCGGGAAGCTACAAGCTGACCCCTGAAAAGGAAAAGGAAAGCCAAATGAGGGAAGCGGGAAAGAGCTAATGCCAAACTGCTCCCTATGCAGGAATGGCCTAAGTCTACATGGTCCTGTAACTGGGTAGAGTAACCCAACTGTCTGGCCGCTTCAGACTGCAAGCGTCCTCTAGGACCAAAAGACCATGAAGTCAGCAGCGTACCCGTAAGAGATCCACGGATTCATGGAGCAACAGGAAGGAGGGGAAAGCAAGAGAAGCTGATGAAAGACCAAGAAATAGGTATTAAACAGAATAAAAACTAAACAGTCAAGTGTGGCAGTAAGTGCCAGCAGTCTCAAGTACCCTGGCAGACGTAGGCAAAAGGACACGTTAGCACATGAGCAACACAGGAAGACCACACTCTCCTCCAGGAACATTCATGCAGGAACCAAAGTGGCCTGTAATGCAAGGAGAGGGGACCCGAGAACACTAAAACTGAAGCAGAGTGGAGCACTGAGCAAGGCCGCAAGCCAAGGGTTAACATCCCACAGAACAGAAGACAAGGCCACAGCACAGATAAAGCCAGGGCAAAAGCACGGTCAGAGCGCGTCCCAGGGAGGCCTTCAGACAGGCTGTGCGCACAGGGCTGCAGACACAGCACAGGGAGACGGAAAGGCCCGAGCGCAGCCGAGAGCTCGGGCCCACGGCCCTGCCCTGGAGGCGTCGCCTGGACGAGTCTCTGCTAGTCACCAGACGCTTCTGCTTCTCATGCATTACAGATTTTACTACAGGAAGGTACCATTTTCTCTTCCCTCCCTTCAAATTAAACACAATTTAATACTACCCTGCCGGGGAAAACGCCTAGAGGTAACAATGGAATGCTTACCCCCACTTTCCGTAAGAGATCCCCCACAATGTTTAGTGCTGAGATCCTAGCTGATGGAGTCAGTGGACTGGTTCCAAAACCATTTGGTATAGCTAGAGAAAAAGAAAAGGAGAGTGAAGACGCCGACAGGACCCTTTACAGTCAGTGTTACTCTTGATGTCACAAAGCTTTCAGACTATACACAAACACAGAACAGAGAAACCGTTAGAAACGGGGGGTTAACCAATTTTCAGTTGACAGATAATTTAAACTACCAAACTTTTCATTATCACTAATAATGCTACAAGGACACTTATTATTAAACATTTCTATGTACGTATGTCAAGTATTTCTAGAGAAGAGATTTCTAAAAATGAACTGCTAGGTCAGAAGCATGCCCATTTTCTTCCATCCTAATACACAATGGCAAAACGCTCCCCAAAAAGGTTGTGCCAGTGTCAGCAATCTGCACAGTATGTCTGTGCTAACATCAGGCACCGGCTTTTTGTTTGCTTGGCAATCTCACAGCCATGTTGTCTTAATTTGTACCCCACAATACGGAGGCTGAAGCGCCTCTTCTGGGAATCACGTTCATTCTTTGCACCTTTCTGTACTTAGTTCTCCTGACCAATCTGCAAGAACAGATTATGGATACTCACACTCTCTCTGATATATGCCATATGTATGTTATATATTTGGAGGAACATTTGGCTTCCCCATTTTACTACTGTAAAAATGTTCCCAATAGTTTCTCCTAGTATTTTTCCACACTTTTATATTTAGATTTCTAACAGTGAGTTGGGGATGGCTCAGTAGTAGAGCACTTCCCTAGCATATACGGGGCCCTAGTTTGACTCCCAGAACAACACCACCCCAAAAGTTTACATAACTTACTGGACCTGTAATTTACAGTTGCCTAAGTTACCGGGTATGACCTAAACTTTCTTCCTCCTAATGGATCCAATTGTCCTAACACCACTAAACTTCCAACATGCAGACCTCATGTGACATGACACCATAATTATAAGCTGAACAGAGTCTGTTCCCCCAGAAGCGTGCCACTTTTCTCATGTTTTTAAATGTACTCAGAACAAAAACAAAACTGTACATGTTAATGGGTACCATCTAAGGTTTCAATACATGAACAGTGGCATATTAAAACATATCAGTATGACTGGGATTTCAAAGAGTGACACCCTTGCTAGCCCCCTGCCCCACGCCGACAACACTTAGGATTGAACCCACAGCCCTTTCACCCAGGAGTGACATCACTAGCCGGTTTCTATTCTGAGACAGAGGTTTCACTAGTTTTCCAGGCTGGCCTCAGTTTATACCCCTCCTGCCTCAGCCCTCAGGCTCGTGGGATTATTAGGTATATGGTTTAATACCTGGCTAAGTATTAGTCTATTGAACTTTTCTTGATTATTCTTACTCACAGAGTAAAACCAGAGTAATATCTGTTTAAGTTTGTATTAATTTAACTTAGAGGCACACAAGGCTAGTGGCTACTGCACTGAGCACCACAGAGAGCTTACTGCGCCAAATGCACAGACAGCAAACCTTGTATCCCTTGGAAAGATAAATCCTGTATGTGAAACTGGACAGGCGGACAGACAGCTTCAGTTTGGGATTAAAAAAAAAAAAAAGCTTCAGGGAACGGGGTAACTGAGATATAATCTGCAAGCTGCAAAAAAAAAAAAAAAAAAAAAAGATGCAAAGAGCTTTGGGAAAGCGCCTGAGGCTTTACCTCGTGGCTGCTACATAGTTTTTCTCCTTATCTGGACTATGTAAAACACAACGGACTGCAAAAGGAATCTCTAATGGGCCAATCATCAATTATCTCCAAAGTCACCTCTGAAGACGCAGCTCCTGACGCGTGTACCAGAATATGAGTATCTATCTGAACCAGGCAGGGTTGCCCCTGACTGGCACACGAAGATTATTCTCTCTACATTTGTGTGCAAAGCCCTCTAGTTTCCTATGATATAGGAAGTGGTCAAAGCAAAAAACAAATTTTAAACATGATCCCAAAACCTGTGTGTGACACAGAGGTATACATAAACTAAACTCAAGCACACACAGCAGAAACAGACCTCAAAATCTTAAGGACAGCTGTCTTTAATAATGAAGATTACAGGCGGCTTTTATTTATTTTCTCCCTTTGTTTGTTCAGAATTCTTACCTATTTTTCTACATGGGGCTGGGTATATAGCTCAGTGGTTGAGCATGTGCTCAGCATACCCAAGGCCCTGGGTTGAATCCCCAACGCCAAAAAACAAAACACAAACTGCATGAACATGTATTACTTCTGTAACAAAAAAAATAAATTTTCCTTAAAAACCTTTTAACTCTTTTTGACGGTAGTGATGTTTTTCTTAAAATTTTTATTAGTACACTATTTGTGGTATACAATGGTTGCATTCATTGTGGAGAACTGATACGTGTACGTAGCACATCTCAATTCTGTTTTTTCCTTTCCTCTCCACTCCCCCCTTTTTGGCCAGCATCAGACTTACTTATTTGTAAGTCCTTATAACGTTAACTATCATGCACACGGAAAAGCCTTTAACTTTCGAAAACCATGTACCGAGGTGATCTTACCTTAAAGGCAGCCCTCACCTTGTTCCTGCTAAGTGGCCTAGAAACAGTCCCTCCTCCTGCTTCACACAGCAATAAACCAAGGTTTAAACTCCCAGCCACCGTTCAAGTCTTAAGAGCTCCTCCTTCACCAACAACCCGTGACAAACCTTTTGGAGAAGGAAAACTGTTTTCCGTTCCTTTGCCAACAGGAGTAGCCGGCAAGGAGAGCGAGGCCTGGACAGCAGAGTCCATCTTCTCACAGTCCAGGGTCGGGGAGCTGGGAGCCGACTTGCGGGTCACTTCCTGTTGTCTTTCCCGAACCGCTAGTTCTTGCCTTAGATCTGCAAATGTGGCACACAGAGCGGAGTACTCAACTGGAGGAAGCAGATGCACCACGCAAGTCACATCCGCAACGTTACAGAGACAGTAATAATCCTCAGAAACGAACTTCCTAGTTCGTGTCTTTAATTTCAAAGGTAATAAAAATGACAACCCTAAATAATCTATTACGATTTTAAAATGCTATAACCTGAGGACAGTTCCTATTCCAAACGCAAAAATAGGGCAAATCTAAGAGATCAGTGACTCTGATACAAAAACAAAATATTCTTTGTCAATTCATTTGCTTTCATTCTGAAATGTTGTAACTGCAGAATTACTGCAAGATCAATGAAATATATTATTATAATTTTAATTAGCTGCGGCTGGGTATTTAGCTCAGCGGCATAAGCACCTGCCTTGCAAGCAGGCGGTCATGAGTTAGATCCCCGGTACGGATAAAAAGAGAAATAATAATAATAATAATAATTTTAATTAGTTAAATTTTTAAATTCTCACTATGAAAAATTGTTTCAGGAAAATATTCAAAACAGTAGCCGGACGCGATGGCACACACTTGTAATCCAGCCACTCAGGAAGCTGAGTCAGGAAGATCACCATCAGTTTGAGGCCAGCCTGGGCTACACAATGAGTTTAAGTGTTAACAATTCCTGAGCTACATAGTAAGACCTTGTCTCAAAAAAAAACAAAAACCAATTGGAGGGGCTTTTTTTTTTTCCTCTCTCAAACACTGGATTTTTAATCTAAAATTTAGGTTTTCTTTTTCAGTTGTATAACTGACCTATAGAACATTGTTTATATTGAGAAAGGACGTGAAACTACCCCACTTCTGGGATCCCAAAGGACTCAAAACAGGGCCACAGAGATATTTGTACAACTATGCTCATAGCAACGTTACTTGTAACAACCAAGAGATACAGGCAAGCCACATATCCATCCATGGATGAATTTAAAAATGAGAACAAGGTGAGGGGAGAAAGGAAGGAACAATAAAAAAGAGAGCAAGAGAAAAAATGGAAGCAAAGCCTTTGTAAATAAAGAGAAGAGGGGCCGAAGGGAGGGGAGGAGAATGGGGAAAAAGAAAAAGTAAGACACATCACTGTGTGAGTACAAATCCCCAGGATCAGTGTTATCATTGTATATACCTAAAACACACCAATGAACAGGGAAACAAAATGGGTGCATCCACAGATCACTCGTCCTCCAAAAGCACATCCTGCCGCACAGCAGCCCAGGGTGAGCCTGAGTGACACAGCCAGCCACACCAGGATTACACTGCTGCGACCCCACCTGTGTGAGGGTCTGAAACAGTCAAACCCGCAGACTGTGGAAAGCAAGACTGGTTTCCGGGACTGGGAGGAGCGACAAGCAAGAGCTGCTGCCTCACGGCTCACATGGCTTCGGGGTTGTAAGACAAAAGGTTCCAGAGACGCGCCACCCAGCAGTGTGATCAGCACTACTAAACTGGGCCTTTAAAATGGTTGGGAAGGTAAATGTAATTTTTATCACAATTATAAATAAATAAGATGCAAAGTTAACACTGTATATATTATATAAATAACCAGCAGCTCTTTAGATAAATGTATCACCCCGTAGGAGAAAAAGGAGGGAAAAAGGCATGAAAAAAACCACTGAAAAATGGCGTAAGTGCCTGCGTGGCAAACGTGAGGTTGTGGGTTCAATCCTCGGCGCACACACACACACACAAAAAACACTGGAAAAAAAACTTCATGAGTTGTAACTGAAGAACTACAGACTAAAACTGAAGTTTTAATTAAATTCAATTAACTACAGATTAAAAACCAATGATAGCAATTTTCAACTTCCAAATGTGTTGTAAAGTATTTAAAACTGACAACACTGACAGGGAAAAGTGTGAAACCACTAACCCCGCTGCCTCATGCCAGAGGTAACAGAAGGGCGCCAACTGTGTAAAAAGTGAGCCTTTTATACGATGACAATAAAAGCATTTTGTTTCTCTTGTCACTCCTATGAATCTCTTCTAAGAAAACCATTTAAAATGCTCAAGTAAGGCCGGGGATACAGCCACTGGAAAACTGCCTGCCTAGCACACACAGAGCTCCGAGTTCAATCCCCGGTGCCACAAAAAGATCAAATACTCAAATAATCAAAACACTGTTATTTCTTTTGGGGGGTTTCTGTGTTTTGGGTGTTTTTTGGTTGGTTTGTTTTGAGACACTATATAGTCCAGGCTAACGTCAAACTCACGGCAATCCGTCTGCCTCAGCGTCCTGGGCACTGGCATTATGTGGGTGGCACCACACCTGGCAAACACTACTCACAGCAAAGCTAGCCACCAACAGTGCACTCATGACACAGAACATAACTACACAGTAGAATAGTCCACGACATTTTTTTTAAAATCTGTTTTAAAAGATTTATCTTATGGACTGTATTTCCCCATAATAAACAGGGACAGGAATTACATATAGGAAAAAATATAGACCTGGCTACATACAGTCATAAGAAAGACTGGAAAGAAATACCACTAATCGATTCTCTCCAGAAAAACGATCAGCAGTGATTTTTATTTTATTCTTTATGATATTCTGGATTCTACTACACATAAGGGGAAAAGAGAGGGAACAATGTTTTTAGGTATTAGCTATATGTATGATATGTACGTAACAATATCTACACATCTATAAAACTATTCAGTGAAAGCAGTTAAGAGAAAATCCCAAACAAATCAGACAGTACATTTGTGCAGAGGGTGGTTAAACCTTTCAAAAACAGACCAGGGCTCGACTCACAGCTGATGACCTATGCTACCTTGCACAAAACTCAAATTCTTTCTGCCATGTTTTCTCATCTATAAAATAGTTATGCCAGACATGATGGCAATCTCAGGACTTGGGAGGCTGAGGCAGGAGGACTGCCATAAGGTCCAGGCCTGCGCTACACAGTGAGCCCAGGACCAGCCTATCTCAAAAACTAAACATGAAGTACAATAAAGTAAAACGGCTATAATACTTCTTAGCATTTGGTTCTATAGGTATAAATAAGTTAACAAAACTTCAAAATTACATACACTGTAGTTTAAAAGAAAGCAAGGGCTATGGCAGGATGGGGTGGTGCACATCTGTAATCCCAGCTGCTTGGAAGGCCGAGGCAGGAGTCCAAGCTCATAGCAGCCAGGGCAAGTTAAGAAGACTCTGACTTAGAATAAAAATTTTCACAAAGGGCTGGGGAGGTCTTTAGTAGTAGAGAACTTGCCTAGCGTTTACAACGCCCTGGGCTCAATCTCCAGTACCCAAGAAAATAAGCGAGAGAGGTGGGCGTGGGGGAGAGAGAGCGCAGGCTGGCAGGCAAGGAGGGAGGAGGCTGGGCCCTGAGCTCTCCGCTGGAGACAGCATGGTGACAGGTAAACATGCTCCAAGTTACTTACCTCGTGCTTCATCCTTTAACCTCTGTACAGAAACCAACAAAGACTCCTTTTCATCAAGTTCACTTTCTAAAAACGCATTTCGTTCAATGGCCTGATTTAGCCTTTGTTCAAAGTCTTCCAGGGATACTATTGTTGCTCTAAAAAGGAACCCATGAATTAAATAAATAAAATGTGCAAATAAAATAGCTTCACAGTTTATCTAAATGCCACCCCTGACCCGGGCCATCCTGGCCCAGTTCAGAGGGAATGACTTCACCCCATTTAACAAATATTAACACGCACTAGTGTACTCCAAGCCCTCCCACTCTGTGCAATCTCCAGCAGAAATAAAATTTCCTAACCTCGGGATGGAACTCAATGTCATCTCAAATTTTATCAGTTCCTTGCAACTGCCAAACTGTCTCTCAAATCCATATCCTCTTGGGACCCAGCCTTCGCCAAGCTCCTGCCTTAATTCCTCAGCCATCAGGCTGGACTGCTCCCTTAGCGACCTTCAAGGCTCCTCCCCGTCTCCAACCCCTCGGGATTATCTTCTCGTGCTACTCTTCACGTGAAGATGTCCAAAGACGCCCCAGTGGCTGAAGAGTCACTCTCCAACCCAGCATACCCGGTGATGCCTAAGCAGCCCCAGACGTTCCACAGCCACGTGGCACTCAGCTGCACTGTCTCTAGGGGAGCCAACGTGAATTCCGTCAATGCCACAGCCACCCTCTGCCTCTGCCCTCGCACCTGGCCCGTCACCCAGTCAGCTGCCTTCTAACTTCGCACTCACAAGGGCTCCCGGCTCCTGAAGCTGCTCTGGCTGCTCTTTCCCCCAAGCACTGGAGCAACCTAAACCTCCTTTTTGTCTTTTATTTTTCCTTTTTGTTTTTTCCCGGTACCAGGGATCGAACTCACGACCGCCTGCTTGCAAGGCAGGTGCTTATGCCGCTGAGCTAAATCCCCAGCCCCTAAACCTCCTTTTTACTATCGCCTTTGTCTTTGTGCATGTGCTCCTCTGTCAGCTCCTGGGGCAGTGACTTGTTAGCTCAGCCCCTGCAAGGTGTCAAGCTCAACAGTCACTTGATAATGATTAAGAAATACCAGGCAATTATTACAATCCTTACAAGGTAACAGGAATTAGACTTTAAATAGTTAAGAGACAACTAATTGCAGAGGCATAAAAACTTGGCAGTAGTTATAGCAAGTCACTATAGGTTGTGCAGGAAAGCTGTAATAAACGCGATGCGTAGGACAAGTTCACTGGGCGATATTGAAACGGAAGGAAAAGGAATGGCGGACAGGATCAGGGCAAAAGGCCTGCGGGCAGGGCGAGGGAGTGCCGAGGCCACAGAAGACACAGCGGGCGGGAGGCTTGTTTACACTCAACCAGAAGGGTCACCAAAGAAAGCAAGGAAAGTGAGAGGGCAGGGGCTTAGCTCAGAGGCTAAGCGCCTACTTGGAAAACGCCAGGGCGTGAGTTTAATCCCAGGCACCAAAGAAAGAAAAGCAAAGCTCAGAGAAGAATTTGAGGGAAGATAAGGATTTCTGGTCCCTTCAACCCAATGAGTAACAAGAGACAGGAAACACCAAAAGAAAACGTTCTGGGGCCGAACTCTAGAGGAGAGACTGACCCTAGCGCTACAGAGTCTACGCACAGCGGGCCAGCTGCAGCCTCCCCGCGGACGGGCGGGCGGACGGACGGACGGACAGACGGCCAGCTGCAGCCTCCCCGCGGATGCACATCACCTACCGTTTGGCTCGCTCCAGGTCATCGTTGGCCTGCTCCAGCTCTCTCACGTACTTATGCAGCTGCTCCTTAATGGCCCTAGTCTGACTTAAATCGTCTTCTAATACAGAAACCTGCTTGTAGCTCTGTGCATACTGATGTTCTAGTTTCTCCTGAAGGCACAGAGAAGAAAGGATGTGTCATTAACACAGCTTTACGGAAAAAAACTCAACGGATTCACTCATAATCTGAGTGGATGGTATCTCACTCCTTTTTACAAGATTTTAAAAGACCTCAATAACATATGTATTCTCAGGATATTAATCACATAAAATTTAGTCAACAGTTTTCCCCTCACAAATAATTCTTATAATAATCTCTCTAAAAATAAATAAGTAAAATAACGACACCCTGCCAGACACAGTGGAATAATCCTTTAATTCACACACTCTGGAAGCCAGAGGTAAGAAGATAATAATTTAGGCCCAGCCTGCGCCAATGAGCAGCCCACCAAGACCTTCTCAAAAAATAATAGCTGGTCCCCTCCTAGGTATGTTCCCAACAAAGTTATACTACAGTGATATATACAGTCCATGCTATAGCAGCACAACTCCTAACAGCTAACTCTTGGAAACAGCCTATCTGCCCAGCAACAGGTGAATGGATAAAGGAAATGTGTGTATATTCACAGTGGAGTACTACTAAGCCATAAAGAAGGATGGTGTAGGAAATGTAGGAAAATGGATGTGAGACCCTGTGAAATAAATCAGACACACAGCATAAATATTGCGTGGTTTATTTTTTATGAGAAACCCAAAGTATAAATATTTAAAGAGTAAAATGAAAGATAATATGAAATACAAACATTCTCTGCAAATGGAGAAGGGAACTAGGGATGAAGAGGGAAAGGGGGTAAACGGAAGAGAAAAGCACTAAACTATGTTGTGGTATGTACATGTACCGACCCCCACAAGGAATGCAATCCATACATTCATATTAAATAAATAAATAGGGTCAGGCTGTAACTTAGTATAGAGGCCCGGGGTCCAATCCCCAGAACCAACCAAACACCCCCCCCACACACACACACACACACACGAGAGCGAGCGACAGACAAAGACAGAGACAGAAAAGAAAACCTTTGCCTCAAAATCTTCAAATACGATAAACCTCTGGGTTCTCAAGCTAAATGCAACCCATGACAAACACAGACACAAACTCTGCAGCTCAGAGTTCCAATCCCCTACCCCTGCCTGGCCTCCCCATCCTTCCCAAGCCCACCCACTCCCTAACAGAGACCTTGCCATGCAGGCTAAACAGAGTGGTGAGGAGCAGACAGGGTTTAATCCTTTCATTTCTGAAAATAAACTCCAAAAATGAAGAGGCTATGAACAACAAAATAAATGCACATTTCATATAAATACAATTTTAAAGTACTACACAGTGAGGCAAACAACCTACCAAAAAGTCATCAGGTAGCTTTGAAAAATTACAAGAACGGCCAGGCACACTAGCACATACCTATAATCGCTGCACACGGGAGGCGGAGGCAAAAGGATCACTGTGAGGCGGAGGCCAGCCTGGGCCACATGCTGAGTTCTACACCAGGCTGCACTATGGAAGGAGACCATGTCTCGAAAAGGGAAATTCCAAAAACTAAGACAGAAGACGCCCAGGGATAGTACGGCTAGACAACTGACAGTCAAAGAGTCCATCGTGAAGCCCTGCACTCTGAACCACCTTTCCCTGGGCTCAGTGAAAGACAACATTTTACTCAAAGTCTCTTTAAGCTTTTTAACATACTTTTTGTTGCTTGCTGTGTTTATACCCCATGCCGAAAGTGTGATTTCTCATCGTAGTACCACCCAGCAGAGCAGACACAGGGCTCCAGCTACAATTACCTTTAATGCTTCCACTTCGTATTTCAGTCTTTGGTTATCGGCTTGTAGGTCTCTGTTTCTTTGCTCTGCCTGTTCTAACTGCGCCTCCAACTCTGCTTCTAATTCTCTGCTTCCTTCCTGGAATTCAACCAGCTCATCCCGAGCTTCCTGGAAGCTAATCAGAAACGAAGTGGGACAGATGAGTAGTAGTAGGAACCACAAGATCATCTTGAGGGTAATTATATATCGATTTAATAATTTGTGTCTGAAAACTAATGCTTCCATAAAATACGCGAAACAATAAAGAGTTTTGCACTTTTTACTCTATTTAGGGTTCAATGAAAATGAGCCATAAGCCCCCCAAAAAATTCACAAATCAGTGATAGTTATGAAAGTCTACATGATTCAAGACCGTTCGCTTCTTCCTCCACAGAACTTAAAGGCAGAAGGAAAAATGCATCTTTATTTCCACAAGTCACAGATACTGTGATTCTGTAGATCACAACGAAGGTTTTGTAGATCTCTATCACTTATTCTCACCACTAATTCAAAATTATTACACACTCCCCTAGACTTTTTGTTAGTTATGCTCTGACACATTATCACTACACCACAAATTAGCTTACTAGTTAGATAAACTGTTTTCAAACAATCAGCTTCCGCTGTAATCTCTGTACTTAGTCTTACATATTCATGAACACTTAGAGGAGGGTCCTTAGGTTCACATACCACATAAAGGCATCTGGGACACAAAAAACATCCCTGCCATAAATACGTGTCATCTAGATATATCTGCACAACAAAGTAACTGGCTTCAGTGGTAACGATGACAGATCAATAAGGTTTGCTAAGGCTCAGTTAATTCTGTTAACCAAAGCAGAAAAATGTGTAAGTATTTTAGAAAAAAAGAATTCCATTTTTTTTTTAAAGTATCCCATTCCTAAAAAACAAATTTAAGACAAGTTTGGTACTGAAAAATTATACCTATGTCTCCTAGCTAAGGAAAATACCTGAATTTTTTTTTTTTTTTTATTTAAGGAGAAAAGAAAAGAAAGAAAAAAAAAACAGTGAAGGGGTACAAGTTATACAGATTTACAGAATAAAAAAATGCGCAGTAGGAAATCACTAGTTAATGGATTACATATTGCCATCTTAGAAATAATTGTTTAAGTCACAAAATTAAAGCTTGTAGAGTGGACATTCCAACAATGATACTGCAAACAGCTATCATTTTCTATCTTATACATTTAAATATACATGCAGTTATATAGTTTAGAGCACTTTCTTTTCCTCTCTTTTGTACAGTGACTATTACACATTTTGGGTTTCATTGCTCCCACGGTTCTTGTTGCTTTTTTTGGAAGAGAGTAAAACCAAATGTGACATAACAGAACAGAATCGGTCAAGTCAAAAGGGTGGACATAATAGATAATATAAAAACATAATACAAGGTGATCAACAATGGTTACCATAATGCCTCCCACTATTTCTAATAGAATTGCCTATATCATTAGTTGTAATACAATTGAACAAAACCGTAAAGAATAAAACCGACAAAACCAAAACATTGGAGATATTGTAGGTATTCAAAAGTAGATAAAAGTCAACGAGAATGGGCGTTATAATGAATCTCATTATCTTCTCAGCTGATGCCTAAACTTTCGAACCTGATACTATCCAGCAAAACAGAATATAGGAACCTCAGTCAAAAACAAGATGGTGAGAGTAATACAGGGCTTCAAATCGAGATAATAGAAAGTCAAAGTGGGTTACTATATTATATCCTGCTATATTTTTCCCTTTAATTAAATGGATAAAAATAAAAAAGTAAATAATGGAGTGGAGATTGAGAAAAAAGAGGGCATAACAGCGAAACAGGGCAGATCAAAACATAACCATTTAAGCAGAATAGTGTTTCACCACCAGCTAATCCTGACCCAAAAATAGTTACCATATTGACTCCCTCCCTGAAGTCCTTGAGTACAACTTCATATACTGTAGCATTAAGTATATCAAAACAATGTAAATCCATTTAAGAGAATGACAGCATTATAGAGTATTTAGAATCGACTAACAGAAAATGAACAATGGTCTCTGTATAATCTCCTTGCCTTTAAAAGGTTTTTTCTTATACTATCGTACATAGCAAAATCCAATAAGATACAACCTGTTTAGACCATTGGAGACAGAAGAACAAAAGCTAGATGAGACTTCAATACAAGATGGTACTAAATCAGCATTACCTATTAAGATGTCATTTTCTCCAAAAAAAGCTGTTCCTATCATCCAATCTTCTCTGTCTCATTTCTGTTGAGCTCTTTTTCTGTCAGTAGCTGTCAGTTTGTCTTCTTCATTTTGTTCTCTGCTCCATTCGTTGTGGCCTCCCCGCCCCTATTTCTGGGTTCTTTGTATTTTTCTTTTTTTAGAATATCCTGCAATACTTTCTGTAGGGTTGAATTGGTGGTTGCAAATTCCCCCAGTTCCTCTTTATCTTGGAAGCACCTCGTTTTTCCATCAATTTCCAGGGACAGTTGTGCAGGATATCTCAATCTTGGCTGTAGATTATTATCTTTCAAAGCTTGAATTATTTCTCCCCATGCTCTTCGTGATTTGATGGTTTGTGAAGAGAAATCTGCTGTAATTCTGATGGGTCTTCCCTTGTAAGTGATCTGTTTCTTGTCTCTTACAGCTTTTAATATTCTGTTCTTGTATTGAATTTCTGGAATTTTTATTATTATATGCCTGGGTGTTTCTCTGTTAGGGTTGTAGGTAGCTGGGGTCCTGTATGCCTCATACATTTGAGTATCTTTACCTTTTGCTAAATTAGGAAAATTCTCCTGGATTATTTCTGTGAGTAGCTTTTGTAGTTCACTTGTTTGTGTCCCTACTTCTTCTTTTATGTTCTTAATCCTTAAGTTATGGCTCCTCTTATCATCTTCTTGTCTTTGTATTATTGCTGTGTGTTTCTTTGTTATTTTTAAGAAGTTTTTCATTTCATTCTCCCATGTTTCAAGTCTGCCCTCCAATTCAGATAGTCTGTCCTTAGTTTCTTTCAAGCTGTTATGCCAGTCTTGGGTAGACTTCTTGATTTCTTGATAGTCCCTTTGCACCTGCTTCACATACTCAATGCTTTCTCTGTTTTCTCCATCAAGCAATTCTCCCCTCTTTTTCTGTTCTTCCATTCCACCATCTGCTTTTTCCTGGGTGGTACTTAGCATTTCTCTAACTATTCTGCATACTTCTAGCTTCAGGTCATTGATAACTTCATTCCTGAATTGGTCTATGAGGCTCTCTAAATGGCGCTTAATGTATATTGGTTCAGTGTCCACAATTGCCTGATTCTCAGGATTGGGGGTCGAGGAGCCTTTTTTGTTGCTTCCCTTCCCCATATTTTCTGTTCCTTATAAAATGTAATCTTACACAGGAGGCCCGGCTTCCCTGCCTGTCAGCCACAGCCTGATCAAATTGCGCTGGCTAGTTGTTCCCGCCCACCGCTGCGCCCCAGGGAGTTGCGGAGGAGGCAGCCTACGCGGGAGTCGGTCGCTCCTCCAGGCCACCCTCAGGCCCTGGGATCTGGGTTAGGCCAGCCTCGGGAGTCCGCCAGCAGCGTCCCTCCGGCCAGGCACTTTTCACCAGTCCCATCCGAGAGGGAAGTGTGCGGCTGCAGTTGCCACCGCGCCCTGCTCTTACAGGACTGCCCGCGCCCAGAAAATCCTCCGCTGGAGTCAAACTGCGGTAGGGAGTTAGTTCCTCGCTCACCTCGCCACCAGTCAGCCTTCCTCCCTGTCCGTCGCGTTTCCGACTCCGTTCGGAGACTCCCCTTCCCAGAGCTCGGCAGTCGCGTCTCTCCTTGCCGAGCCGCTGTGGAGGCGCCGGCCGCCGGGCGGCGGGAAATCCAGACCGCGGTTTCCGATGGCGCGGAGTCGAGCCTCCACACCGAGATTTTTCTGTTCCTATTTTAGCGCCAGGACTGTATTCCAAGTTGGATTCTCTCAGCCCAGTTCGTTCCTGAGTCAGCAGAGCATATCTCTACTGGTTCGTATCTCCTTAGTCCGCATCATTCCTGGCCTCTGAGCCGAGTCTTTAGAGAGCGTTCAGTAGTTGCTGTTGTCTGTCCGCCATGTTCTCTCAGTCTCCCTGAAATTTTTATAAAATGTTCCACAGCCCTTGCACACATCCTCCTCCATCAAAGCCTGGCCAGCTCTAGATATTAATAATGCTTACCCAAAGAAAATTAAAGTCCAGTATAGCATTCTCCAAATGGGCAAATGAGGCAGAAAGAGAACATACACAGCAGACCAAAGATGGTCCAATCCAGTAATAAATATGCAAAGGGGCCGGCTATCGAAAGAACTCACACAGGAACTAAGTTTTCCCATTACATTGTTTTTAAGACAGCATCTCACTATGTCATCCACGCTGGCCTTGAAGTCACTATGCAGCCCAGATGGTGTCAAACCTGTGGTGATCCTCCTGCCTCAGCCTCCCACATGCTGGGATTATAGGTGTGTCTCACCATGCCCAGAATTTTCCTATTACTTTTGAACAATAAAAATTTATGGTATGTTTATGCTACTTAAATACAAGCAATGTTATAATTATTTCTAAAAATCACAATTTGAAGTCTGAAACTCTAAATTTGGCTTTGTCTTTAAAAAAAAAATCACAAACCGGGCATGCCTGTAATACTCTGGGAGGCTGAAGCAAGAGGATCACAAATTCCATCCCAGCATGGGTAACTTAGCAATTTAGTGATGTTCTGTCTCAAAATAAAAATAGTGCAAAAGGGCTGAAGATGTAACTTTGAGCAAAGGCCCTGGGTTCAGCCCCCCTCTGGGGTGGGGGAGCACAAACCAGACGGTGTACTCCAAATGCCTTTCCCTACTTTTAACACACTGTTCCACATTACCTTTGCTTATACTTCAAGGAAAGTTCCTTCCAATAAGCATTTTCTTCCTTTAAACTTGAAAAATTTGGTATATCTTCACCATCCATGATCAAGAAAGCCTATAAAATATTAAAGACAAACTATTATAAATTAAATAGAGAACACAGAAATCTAAATAAGTTTAAAATCTGAGACAGCATGAAAACTGCCACATTCTGGAGGGAGTTAAACAGGAAAGATCCCAGGAGCAGCTAACTCAGGCACACGTGGCACTTCCCCGTCACTGAAGTGAGATCATGACGGGAGATGAAACAACACAGTCCTTCGGAACAAAGCCACTAAGGTTGTTGCCCTGGGTTTGGGTGACAAGGCCCCACAGGACCATCCAGCACCAAGCTCCGAACTGCTGGTCTGGAAATCAGTGACCGAAGCAAGCACCCTGTCAGCGGTGCTGCCGGGCAAGCCCCTGCTTGCGCATCCACTCCAGGTGATGCTGCCAGGTCAGATGTGCCCAGTAACTTACTGCCATCACATTTCTAAAAGTCCGTTCATTAACTACCTTGTACCTTGTAAGTCCAAAACTTTTCCCAACTGAAGACTGGCCATAAACTTGCTCAACTCCTGAGTAGCTGAAATTTCAAGCATACGTCACCACTCAAAGATCTTTTGTTTTCAATTTTTTGCATTCAGAGAGGGAGAGGAAAAACCTATTTAATTAACCTTGCATTTGGACTAACTAAAACTCCCACCTGCCTGTCAGGTCACGGCACACCAAACCATCCAACCCGCCCTACCTTTGTGTCTACAGTTCCTGCGGCCCCTGGCTAAGCATCCCGCTTCACATGCCAGCGCTGCTGCTCAAATGGTCAGTACCCCACGCTGTTTCAGATCCGGATGCTTTCTCTACCTGAAACGGTTTTCCATTCCGAACATTCGGGAAGCTCTCATTTTTTCTTTAAAACTCAACTGTCACTTTTTCCAGAAAGCCCTTCTCATCCTTAGACAGCATTAAAGCACCTGTACTCTCAGCTGTGAGTGAGGCTGTCCCTACAATAGCATCTCCGCCACACAGCAGTGCATCACCTTACCCCTTTGTGTCCGCTGTTAGGCTGTGCAGCATTAGTGTATTTATTTCTATTCCACCACAATGCCTGCACAAAAGGAGATATGTGCTGAATTAAATCATAATTGATTCAACATAATCCACAGTGGACAGCAAGAACAAGACTTTAAATTAATGAAACCCTGGAGTTGTACAGAACTTGAGAATTCATCTAACATAGTTCACTCATAAAGACTTAGCAAGAACCATCACAGGTAAGAACAAATATAGAACCCCAATTTCTAGGTGAGTATACCAAAGAGGTATGCGCAAAGGTTTTAATGTAAGAAAACAAAAATGTAACTTTATACATTAGGTTTAATTCCTTTGAGGCCTAATCAAGTATTACTTTGACATCTCTTAGTCGACCTTCCAATTATCTTAAATTACTAATCAGCCTGAAAGTTGTTTGAGATGGATCCCTGACACATCTTATATTCCTTCACCATAAAACCTTGCTCAGAGAAAAAGCACCTAGTGCTTGCAAACATTTACCCAACACTTACCATGTGTCAAATATTGTTCCGTACTGGATAAATATTTATTAACCAAATACACTCCCCTCTAATCTGATTACCCCTACACACACACACACACACACACACACACACACACACACATATCTGTCTGTATTAGTCTGTTCCTGTGGATACCTTTATAGCAATGTTAATCCTACAGGCTGGAAGTCTTGTTGAGGCTGGCCTATAGGGTTCCAATTCTGTCGCTAAATTACTTAAGCAAACAGCTTAAACTCGTAGAGCCTTTTTTTCATCTTAAATGGATTTGGACTATATTAAATAACTTACAATGTTTCTTCAAGTATGTACACTGATTTAATTTTATAATTCTGTCCCTTCATCACAGCTCCCAAATTCCACTTCACTTTCTCAGACAGACAGAATCTTATCTATAACTAGATTATTTTGTAGTAAGGTTTGTATGAGGACAAGGCTTATGTAGCACAAAAAGGTATTCCTATTCCAAAGTACAAGCTTAAAGTCATCATCATGTGGTATCAATGACTCCTCAGAGTTATAGCCTAAGTCTCCTTGAGGTAAAGGACACATTTTAACAAGCCAGGTAAGGACAGAATTACAAGACACATGAGGCTGCCTCAAGAGATGAGGCAATAATCCCTGTGCCCTCTGAATGTGCTACAGAGGTCCTTCTCTCAAAACGCCCTACAACTGTGATTACCTTTAAATCTGTAAACCCAGCTCTACAGAAGGCCATCCCGAGGTCAGGGGCACGGCTCCCTAACCTGGATATGCTGCCATTTCAACACTGGCAGCTACCCCTGCAGCCCAAACATCGGTCCTGACACTCAACCCAATGGATTCTGGTTTCTGCGGAACGTTATAAGAACCAGAGGTAACACAACTGCTACTAACTCTGCTTTCAACAACACCAGCTTCAGAAGAAAGGTGTGGGCTCCCTAGCTGGCTCTTTGCGGGCAGGTTCTGTGCCTTATTCATAAAGCCTCCCATAATTTACACATCGCCAGAAATGCACAATGTAAAAGTTCAATAAAAATCACTTGAATTGACTTATAATCTTTCCTTCACTACTCTCTTTTTCCTTGAACATCTGAATCCCTGCCTTAAGGAAGAAATAAGCAAAAAGACCTATGGTTAGTTTATTTCTACTTCACAATTTACCACCATGTATTAAAACCAAGATTATAAAATCTATTATTTCCGGTGGTACAGAATATAGTTTGATGCACGGCAAGCACATCCACGGTCAGCTGTGCAGGCACTACAAAGAACAGAGCTGATGGGACCTGCAGTGAGCACCCTGGAGAAACTACTGAACACCAGGGGCTTCCACCACGTAGCCACCAGGCTCCACGGCAACCAAGAACCACCAGACAAGCAGCACAAAGGAAAAAACCCTTGGACCTACTGAACTGAGAGGAAACATAATTCAGGAAATGAGAGAAAATTTTTCTCCTACAAAAACTAAGGGTTACCTTCTTACACTTCCCTGAGAGTTACAACAGAAGGGAGAAAAGCCACACCTGAGTGCGCAGGATGCAGCCCACAGGGACTCCAACCCAAAACCGCAATGGAAAGAACTCCGAGGATCCGGGACAGCCTAACAGGCCCACAGTGCAGCTCAAACCGAGGGGCGGCTCCACAAGCAGGGGAAGCCCATCAACAGCTGAGTAAGAAAGCTGCATAACCCTGAGTGTATGCTAAGGCTAAAATACTCGTCTGCCAATCAGGAAAAGGGCAAATGAAAACCTCAGGGAATAAAAAGCAATTTAAGAAAGTTCTGATCCTTATATAAAACATTTCAAAGAATGATTTCAAATTTAAAATTTTAAATTGACTGATTTTTATACTACTTTAGGCAACTGAAATAAATTGCTTAATTTCAGAGCCATCAATGAACTTCCCATTTTTGAATGTACATTTGCCGTTTCATATTTTGCTCTATTGTAAGGTCCTAGAATTTATTAAACAAGTTTGTGCTCTTTTTTATGATTTGTTGTGATAATACCTCTCAGTTTTGGAGCTCCTAAAGTTAGTATTTCTTGTCTGTTTAGCCTAGGATCATTTAACACTCATCTCAGGTTCATAAATATTGGTCACTCTTAGATTACAAGTAAGCTTTCTGGGCTGGGGATTTAGCTCAGTGGCATAAGCGCCTGCCAGGCAAGCGTGAGGTCATGCGTTTGATCCCCAATACCACACACACACACAAGAGATCGTAAATAAGCTTTGTGAGGCTGAATAACTACTCAGCCTCACTCTACTCACCGGCTCTTTCTGTTACCATGCAGCACCTTACAACAGTGTGTGGTCCATGGGCTAGGGTCCCCATGGAAGTCCCTGATGACTATCAGACGCCCTCCTCAGCATCTGACATTCATTTGAATTATTTACTCTACGGTATTTAAATGTGAATCCAAATAGGATCAGGACTGTTTTCATCTATAAATGTGACTCACGCAGCCAGTTTGAAACTTTCCTGGTAGCGGTGTTTTTTGCTCTTTGCTACCTGCATACCCGGATCACAACCTCAAGGCGGTTACTGCTTTGAAGGACACTTGACTAAATACTGATCTCTGGGGAACAACGTTGTTTACACCTCTGAGTGTGCTATGAAGAATCCACTTGTTCTCCGGCTGTAAGACAGACACATATGCTTTTGTTTTGTCTTGCTTTCTGGTTTTTGAGACAAAATCTTGCTATGCAGTTCAGACTGGCCTCGAATCCACTATATAATCCAGATTAGCCTTGAACAAAGCAATCCTCCTGCCTCAGGCTCTCCCATGCTAGGACGAAAGGCGCTACCTCACCTGGCTTTCCACACACATTCTTAATTTTCTAACTGAATCTTATGTGAACTAAATGTTGACAGTTTTTCAAATCAAAAAGCTCCTTTCACATAGTATTGCTTGCTTGTTGGCCCTTCAAACAGTATTACAATCTATGTCAGAATATTTTACTAAAATGCCTATCATCTTTTCCAGAATAAACTGAATATAAAAATGTAACCAAGAATCAGTCATAGGAATAGCACAGCATTCTGACAAGACCTCAGGCCCTGAACTCCCACTGCCTGGATGTGACCTCAGGCTCCTTTGCTCACTAGCTGGGGACTGTGGGCAAGCTGTCCAACTACTCAGCACCCACTTCCTCACCTGTAAAATGGAGATAATCACTAACATGAGACTGTTATAAGTAGTGACTTTATATTTGTAAAGCACTTTTAACAGATCCTGACACATGGTAAACACATCCTAAGTGTTCATTAAACTATTACGGGTTGGTAGTTCAGTACTGGATCTTTGAAGTTTGACCACAAAATAAACAGGCTTCAGAATCGAAAACGTACAGATGACTCCTTAACATTAATCATTTCAGGGAGTTATTCGTATCTCAGTGACAGCACTACTATTGAAAGCATTCCCAAAACTTCTCTTCTGGAACTGCTTTTGCAAGCAAGATTAAGAACTAAGCAAGAAGTTCTTACTCTGTTCACACATACTTGTTTCCTAAATTATCCAGCTGTCCCTCTAATTTTATCAGACTTACCCTTTTCAAAACTCTGATTTTTTACAAATAACAAAAATGTGCTACCACTGCACATACAATAAGAGTGCTTTAAGGTCTAAAAAGAATATTCAGTTTGACTCAAATTATCCTGGGAGGATGTAGTCACTGCCATCTGAAACTATGTAACTAGATACTAAGGCTTCGAGAAATTAGCCAGTATCAAAAGATATAAAGCTAAAAATAGGAAAAAAAGATACATGGAGACCAAAAGCTAAATAAATATAAATATGTGTTTGAATGGTACATGTATAATTTTCTGAAGTTTTAATGAAGGCAGATAATCAAGTATTCTCCCCCAGTCTTCCCTCATGCCATGTCTCATATAGATGGAGTAAGTCTTCAAATTGTAACTTTTACATTGGCTATCATCATAGGCTACATGATCTTTGGATATTTAACAATTGACAACTCAGGTTGAAAAGTCCTTCAAGAACGCCCTATTTACAAGGAAACTATTTCTCGCACAATGGTAAACTCTATTTTACACTGTCTTCTTGTTAATAAATGTATAGGTGGACTACTGAGGTTAAAGAATTCTTCTGGGACCCCCTGTATACAATACAGGCCTTTCTACTGAAAGTCTTTCACTTCTCCCAAAGAAACATCTACAGAATTTTAAACTTTTCAAAGCCAATCATAAATAAACTTTCTAGGCCTATCAAACTTATTTTTCCACCTTTATAGACTGCTCAGAAACTTCTGCCAGGAATAAATAATTTTAAACTTTAGTAATCAAAATTATCTCTGTAGGGGTTTGGGGGGGTTGTTTGTTTGTTTTGGGGTTTTTTTGGTACCAGGGATCAAACTCACAAGCTCAAGCTTGCCAGGCAGGTGCTTAAGCCACTGAGCCCCAGCCCCATCAGTAGGGTTTTAATTGAATAAAAAGTTTTATAAATATCATGAAAGCAAATCTAAGTTTTTTTTTTTTTGCAAATCTAAGTTTTAATTAAAATAGCCGTATGTCAATCATTTCAAATGCTCCTTATCCAACTTCAATTTCATTTTTGTTTTGGTTTTGTTTTATTTTTTGAGACAAGGCTCTATGCAGTTAAGGCCAGCCTTGAACTCACTACCCAGGCTGGTCTGGAACTTGCAGTAATCCTCCTGTCTCAGCCTTTCCAAATGCGGAGATTACAAGTATGCACCACCATGCCCAGCTCCAAAAATGAACAGCTAAAAGTTTTATTTGTTCCTTAAGCACTCCGATTGTAAATAACAATAACTTTTTCAAGAATTCAGAAGACAAATCCCACAATGACCCATGGCTTCTCCTCACCCTTAACAGTGCATTTTGTTCCATTAATTTCATCTAGCAAAGCCACTACACAAAAAGCAATACAAGTTATCGGACAAAATAACCAGCCACCCACGAACAACCTTAAATTTTTCTCTTTACTAAATAGTTATTTTCTAGGCGAGTTTACTCAAAAAACAATTGGATAAATCCGCTACTAGTTTCTAGAAGTAGCAGAATTTGACAAGCCAAATTTTTGCTTTGCTTTCTAGCTGATAAGGAAATAAAAATCTCGCCAAAAAAAAAAAAGCTAGAACTCCGAGACTAGAAATGCAAATTCTGATCCAAACTAAGCTTCTCACCAACTTGAACCCAACTATAAATCACTTCACCGCCCCTCCCACACCCCACCTAGCAAGGCTCAATTTCCAGCAAATGGCAATACGGTTACCTGTCACAACTTTAGCGTGACGAGGTTCAAGAGACAGAAATATGCAAAGGTGCTACAGGAATGGAATGGAATCATCATTAGTGAAAGAACCTTCACTTTCTTAGAAAAACTTCAGGGGTTACCTCATCACTTGGCGGGGGAGAGGGGGGGGAGCACAAGCAACCCGAACCCTTTGGTGACACTTCCCTGAACTCCACCGGAGTGATCAGCAGTTCCAGGGCAGGAGTCACGGGGATACCAATCAGAGCCCAGCGTGGGCTGCGCCCGCTCTCGCTCCCCACGCAAAGGGGCGCTGGGAGATCAAAATCCAAATGGCTGTAAACACTCCCAGCTGAAGGGATTCTGCAGAGGCTGAAGGAGGTGGGCCGGGTGCGCGCTACACCTCCGCCTGAGCCACTCCTTGCGCCACCTGCGCCCTGGCTCACGGTACCACGTCCCGGCCTCCGTCCCCACCCCAGGACAGAAGCGCATCTGGAGCCGCGGCGCTAGCTGTCTCGCAGGCACCCGCGGTGAACCACACCTTGGACCAGCCGGAGAAGGGGGCGGTTAGAGCGGTTGGAACAGCTGCCTGCGGACTGGACGCTCCAGAGCCCAGCCCCGGGCCGGCTGGAGGGGCCTCACACTCCGCGTCCAGGCCGGGCAGGCTCCCCCCGGGGCAGGCCTTAGCGCCGCCGCCCGGCTCGGGCCTTGGGCAGCGGCCCCGCGCCGCAGGCTCACCTCTAATGTGTCAAAAGCTCATGTTCGCCACCGCTCGACCCACGTCTCTGTGCTGCCGGCCTGGCCAGGCCCGCCCAGCCGATCAGCGACGCTTCCCTCTGCAGCCCCAAGCTCCACTCCACGGACCTCCGCGCCAGGCTCCTCCCCGACACGTCAGGAGCTGCCCGGGTGTCCGTGGCCATTCTGTGACGCACGAGGGCGGATGTCAGAGCATGCGCAGGAGCGCGCGGGCGTGCGGGGTGGGGCTGTGGGAAGGCTGACGTCACAGGAGGCCGGCCAGAGCGCGGCGCGCTGACGTCAGGCCGCGGCGACCTTTTGCGCAAGCGCCTGCGATACCCTGTAGGGGTGGGTTCCGGGTCTATGCAGGTTTCGGAACCTCTGCGCCTTTAGCATCCCAGGAACTTGGAGAGAGAGGGAAGCAGGCGCTCAGAGAGGAGACGTGGGAGAATGAACAGTTGCATAGGGAGTGAAAACTTAAGGAAAGAAAACCGTTTCAAAAAATTTTAGGAACTTTTGCTGTCTCGTGCACAATACAATTCTAATTTCATTGCTCATAGGATTGATTTTGTCATGTTTGGGGACACAATAACAATGTGGAAGACATGTCTCAAGGTGAGATCAGGGTGAGCCTTGGATGCCTACTCAGGCTTTTTAGGGAGACAGGAACAATGTAAAATGAAATGTTAGAGGGACCCAAATCAATGAGGATCAGAAAAAGGATTGTAGAAAAGACCACCTTGAGGATATAGGGTTGGGGGAAAAGGTGGTACTAGCAATTCTGGTGCCATTGTGCTGAACACTTAGTCTGCATGATTGCAGCCTCGCAGTGACCCCATGAGATACGTTCTGTTACTCACATTTTATAAATGGGGAAACAGACTCAGCAAAATGAAGTTGCTCAAGGTCACTCATCTGAGAGGAGGATTCCAGATGCACACTCAGTCTATCGGCCCCTTAGGGTTATAGCCTTGGTCCATCTGCTCACCACTGACCAAATCAAAAGAGGCCATGTACTTTGGTAAAAAGGAAAAGAGGGGCCTGCATGTTTTGTCACTTCAAGAAAAGAGAATGTATTGATTGTGTGTGCAGCAGGAGGACAGTTAGGAAAGTTGCTTATCTCTTTAAAAAAAAAAAACCTCACTTTTAGAATTACATTTTGTAGTGCTGGTCACAGTCTAAATTGTCTAACTCCAGAAACCACTCAGTTATCCACTACTGACACTCAAACACAGGAGTATAGTACTGATAACACCATTGGTTGTGTTTACTGGGTTAGAACACTGCTAAATTCATTTGTTTTCTTTTGTGCTAAGCCTTTCCATACATTACCTCACACAAGCCTGAGAAGCCGGAATCGCCTCAGACTAAAAAGAGCTAGAATTTTAAACCAAGCAGGTCTTACTCCAAAAACAGTGGCCTGCGACATTTTAGAAATTCAAGTGCTGAGGCTCTGCTTCCCAGGCTGAAGCTGTGCTCTGGCTGGTGAGATCATAGGCAGGGAGATGATTCCTGAAGGCTTTCATGTAGGCCTGGTGCCAAGGCAAAATAATCGGACTCCAAGAGGATAGGGACTGCAGCTCTCGTCCTGCCCCCTGGATGAAGTGCTGGGATACTCACTGAGTGACCTAATGGCAGACCTTGCCCTTCAGAAAATGTTACTGTCATCTTCCAGGCCACTGTCCCTCCCACACAGCTGGGACTGGTATTCATAAGGAAAAATGTGTTGGTCTCATCTTAATCAATAGGCTTCAGTTGGCAGAGCTCTTGAGATGTCAAAGGCTGGTCTCCCCTTTCCTAGTGGCTTGAGCTTTGTCCCTTAGAGATGGCCCCTGGGACTGAACAGTGCAAGAGTAAACAACTTTTGTCCCATCCCCTGCTCCAAAATGATAAATCCAGGGAAAACAGTTTAAAGGAAGATAGGAGACAGCCTCAAAAAGAAGTTATAGCCGAGCATGGTGGCTCATGCCTGTAATCCCAGCACTTGGGAGGCTGAGGCAGGAGGATCGTTTCGAGTTCGAGACCAGCCTGGGCTAGAAAGTGAGCTCAAGGCCAGCCTGGACTGCAGAGCGAGACCCTGTCTCAAAAAGACAAAAAAAAAAAGTAGTTACAAAATCAGTTCTGTGGCAGTGGAAAAGGTAAGTAAAGGCTGCCCCTCTTTCTGCCTTTATAAACCACTGGAAAGAAGCTTGCTGAGGCCTTGGATGCAGTACAAGGTGTTTGGTGGACTGAGCCAAAGGGCTCCATGTCACAGTCCCTGAAAACATACACGAACATCCCAAGAGCTTCCCTGCTGACAGATTCCACACCTGGAAGGGGTAAAGGTTGATCAGTTGCCAGACAGCAAGTCTGGGTACAAGCCCACACTCTAGCTAGTGGACTTTAGCTTCCTCACACATGCACAAAAGTCGGCCTCCAGGCCTGCTATGAGATTCTGAGACAGTGCTTATTTAACTCTGTACTGAATTAGGTTGGTGAGATGCCTCAAAAATAAAAGGCTTGATACAGCCCAGTCTCTATGCCTTTGCCCAATATCGTTGTTATTTTGCTGAGCACTAAGAGCATAAGGGAAGCTGAGCCAAGGACACCCAAACACTGGCTGTGTTCTGCTGGACACGTCCACCTAGTGTCCCTTCACCACCTCCAGCCCTATTTGGCTAAACTTCACAGAAACCCTCTTTCTGCCTAGCTGACATTTCCAGAACAATCTCCATGTTTCCGCCAATGCTGCTGTCACTGTCCTGCTCCCTAAGAAATAAAGTCCGCGTCATCCGCCCTTAATTACCCCTCCTGCATCCTCATGAACTCACCACGCCTCAGTGACGCTGGCCTTCACAAATTCACTCATTTCACAATTCTTTTTCCTCCCTCCCCAAAGTCCGCTGTCTGTTCTTCCCTCCACAAACTTCTGTGTTTCCAATATCCTGTTCTAGCCACACAGAACCACTGGCACAATCTAAAATCCCAATGTGTACATAGCACCCATGACTCCAAATTTCGCTGGAAATCTCATTACGTTTGTGATAAAGTATAAACTATGCATTCAAGGCTCCCAAAGCAACCTCCGTGTTCCCAGACCACTTCTGCAGCCCGCGTCCTACAGGTCATCTGGTGGGGTCTAAGCACACTGCCCTGCGTCCCCCAGATGACCCACCGTTCCTCCCTAGACCTATCTTCATTATTCCTAGTGCTCTGTGCACCAAGCTGCTCTGCAAACCTGACTGTCCTCTCTGCCCCCTGCCTTTTGAAGTCTCCTTCATGGGTTGCCTCCTCCAGGAAGCCTTCTCTCACACCCAGAGCCCCAAAGCGAGCCGCAGGGGAGCCATCAGAGCTCACAAGACATTACTGAATGCAGTCTTGTGGCCCCTGGAGTTTCCAGTCTCTCCCAAGAAACCAAAATTCAGTTCCGGTACACATTGTCGTAGCATCTCCCTGGCAGCAGCATTTAGCAAACACTCATTGAATGTGCTTCAATGAAAGTGAAAGGGTGAACTGATGGCTTGGTGGCTAGAATTTCAAATACAATACGATGGACCTTTCTGGAAAATGTCTCAAACACTGAAAGAAAAAAGAGGTTTTTCACTGGTAAGAACACTTAATGTAGATGATGCCAGCTTACAAAGGAATTATGATTCATGTTATAGACAATTACACCTTTTCTCTAGCTCAGATCTTAAACTCAATTGATGGTATCTGTGTTCCCCAGTACAGCATTCTCTCTCTCTCTCTCTCTCTCTCTCTCTCTCTCTCTCTCTCTCTCTTTCTTTCTCTCTCTCTCTCTCTCTCTCTTTCTCTCTCTCTCTCTCTCTCTCTCTCTCTCTCTCTCTCCCCTCCCCGCTCCTCCTCCCCTTCTCCCCCTCCTTTGTCCTCTCCCTCTTCGTCTCCCTTTCCTGTCTCTCCTCTGTTTTTTTAGTACTAGGGGTGGAACCCAGGGTCTTCACTCTGAGCTACATTCCCAGCCCTTTTTTATTTTTTGAGACAGGATCTTGTAAAGCTGCTAGATTGCCAAGGCTGGACTCCAACGTGCGATCCCCCTGCCTCAGTCTTCCAGGTTACAGGGATGACTGACCAGTGCCACCATGCCCAGATCATCTTTTGTAACTAAACACTGCTAACAGCGCATGCTAAGCAAGCACCCTGCCACCAAGCTTCAGCTCCAGCTTGAGAAGTTTTGTTTGTTTGTTTCAGTACAGGGGATCCAACCCAGTGTCACTTACCACTGAACTACACCCCCAGCTTCCTTTTCCTTTTTTTAAAGTAAGTTCTCTGTAAATTGTCTTGGAAGGAGTTGAACTTGCAATCCTCCTTTCTTGTTCCTTCAGGACTGGCGTCACTGCAAGTTTGAGGCCAACTTGGGCTACACAGTAAGGCCAGTCTGAACTACATAGTAAGACTCTGTCTCAAAAAACAGAAAAGAAGAAAAAGAGAGGAGCAGACACCTTAAAGGGAGAAATATATTTTACCATTCCATCACAGTGCTGGCACAGAGCAGGCGCTCAGAAAATGTTGACTGATTGACTGGATGGATGGATGGTGCACACAATACAAAAGTCCTCAGCTAAACCATAAATTCTCCCTTCTAAATGTTTGTGGGGTTTTTGTTTGTCTCCAGTATCAAAGATTGAACTGAGCTACATGCCCAGATGCTTTTTTATCATTTATTTGAGGCAGGGTTCCATTAGGTGACTAAATTGCCCAGGCTGGGCTCAGACCCTAGTGGCCTCGGTTTACCCCTGGTTAAGGGCAAGAGCTCTTTCCTTCCTGGTACCAGCCATCAGGGCTCTCCTGGCAAGGGACTCATGGGTGGCAGCAGGTGGTACTCACAGACAGTGAGAAGGCTGGGAGGGGGCTGGGGGTCTTGGAACCTAAAACACCACACAGCCAATTCATCTCCAACACACTGCCTCAGCCTCCCAGAGTACTGGGATTACAGGCACGCACCCCCACCCTTCCAGTTTGAAGAGTGTCCAGTTCATATTTGATTCAGAAATGCTCTTCTAATTGACCCCTGGCCCTTTGCTCAGGCAGCCTAAGCATCCCAGCCTAGAATCTTTTTTTTCTTTTTTTTTTTCTTTTCTTTTTCAAGATCTAGTTAGCAGTACGCACACCCGATTTAATCTCACTCGTCATGAACAACTGAACCCTAAAGCACTCAGCAGTCACCGCTGGCAGCTAACCAGAGTATTTCTATAACACCCCACAGGGAAAGGA